CCGGGCAAGCCCCCATCGACCTAGTGTCTGTGTGTAAGATTTTTTTGTGATGTTTTAAAAATACCTATTTTTGTTTAAAAAATTCCATTATCCATACATATTCGGATATGTGAACAACAACAAACATAAACTAAAATAAAACAACTATCAATGAAAGCCCCAAACTGAAAGGAAAGGACTAGAAAACTCTTTCATCATAGAAGATTGTTGAACATTTTGAAAATTATATACAGGGGCAAATTTTACCAGACGTGCAAATCCTGTTGACAATATAAAAACTAAACTATAAAATACTGAAGTTTTCCCAAACATAATTTCTTATTATGGGAAGAACATAATGGTTTCTGCTTTAACAAGCTGGCAGCATAAAAAGAGATATCTTAAGTCTTTTATTAAGTATTTTAAACACTTAGGAAAGCATATACTAGCATAACTGGCCCTAGTTCTGTCACCTGTCTGCAATTGAACTTGTCACTTAACCTCTAAAATTCAGTTACTTAGAATTGGGTATTATTGGGTGTGAATTCCAGTTATTTATTTTACCCATCTCAGTAGTGTGGATAATTTAGAGAATTGACCTCTAAAAAATATATAGTTGAATTTTTTTAAATAAATAAGATCTAAATTCACTCCTGAACTCATCTCCCATTTTATTCTCCCAAGGTACACACAGTTACCAGTTGCTTAGGTGTTTTTTTCAGAGATATACTATGCAATATGAATGTAGCATTCCATATAAACTTTTCCCCCAGTGACCAGTGTGCCTTGGCAAACATTCTATACCAGCCCTTGCAGATCTGTCTCATTCTTTTTTACTGTGAAGTATTCCCTTGTATGATTTTCAAAACATCTTTTATTGGTCCTCTATTGATGGATATATATCTTACCTAATAATAGACAAACATGTAAATTGACCATACCTTCCCTATGCTAAACAGCCAATCAGGAGAGTATGCAAATTAACTGCTTGAGCGGCCTGGGTCCTGGGAACATCCTCGGGACCCAGGCCGCTCTTAGCCTGTAGGCCCGTGCATAGGCCCTGAGCAGCTGGGGTCCCAGAATGCCCCCGGCCACTCTGGGCCTATGGGTGCAGGTGCCAAGCAGCAGCCTGGATCCATGCCCCCCAGCCCAGCACCCATCACGGACGGGGGCGAACAGGCCAGGCCAGGCCTCCCCACATCGATTGTGTACCGAACAGAACAGGCCTCCCCATGTGAACGATCGCTGGGCAAATAGAACAGGCCTCCCCAAGATTGCTCACAGGGTGAACAGAACAGGCCTCCTCCTGAACGATTGCGGGGCGAACAGGACAGGCCTCCCTGCAATCACTGGTGGGGTGAACAGGCCAGGCCTCCCCGTGATCTCTCAAAGGGCAAACAGAACAGGCCAGGCCTCCCTGCGATCGATCACTGGGCGGACAGAACAGGTCTCCCCACGATCCATCGCAGGGCGAACAGAACAGGCCTCCCTGCGATCGCTGGCGGGGTGAACGGGCCAGGCCTCCCCCAATCGCTCTCGGAGCAAACAGGCCAGGCCTCTTGCAG